TAAAACGTCCACTAACTCAGCAATACAATCAATGGCGGATCCAGTTCACTGATTGGTCCTAATGAAGGATAGTCGGAACAACAACAAAAAAAAGGGCCCTATTTTTTAGGTTAAACAACTGTTTTATTTGATCATTTACAATGTTTATATATTGGCAAATATATACAGTACAACCTCTCTAATTCAAACAAAAATGGGGAAAATAAAAAATTGAATTAGAGTGATTTTAGAATTACAGAAAGTTTTTATATATATATATATATATATACATATATATATATATATATATACATATATATATATATATATACATATATATATATATATATATATATATATATGTATATATATATATATATATATAGTATATATATATATATATATATATATGTATATATATATATATATATATATATATATGTATATATATATATATATATATATACATATATATATATATATATATATATATATATATATATATATATATATATATATATATATATATATATATATATATATATATATATATGTATATATATATATATATATATATATATATATATATATATATATATATATATATATATATATATATATATATATATATATGTATATATATATATATATATATATATATATATATATATATATATATATATATATATATATATATATATATATATATATATATATATATATATATATATATATATATATATATATATATATATATATATATATATATATATATATATATATATATATATATATATATATATATATAATATATATATATATATATATATATATATGTATATATACATTAATGAATCCACACTTCCAATTTCAAAAATTACTTTCAACTTCAAAAGCTTTCAACATTTTATTTCACATTATCTACTTCTAACGTGATTCTATACATTATTAATTAGCTAATGACTTTGCAATAACAATCTAGTAAAAATGTAGGTACTTATATGCAAATGATCTAACGAAAATAGGACAATAATAATGTAGTTTATCTATATTATTTATTCTACAGTTACTAAAAATTTAGAATTGATCTAGCTGTGTATAATTTATACATTAAGTTAAAGTATAATTAATATAAAATATAAAGTTACACTCAACAAACTTTATTGTTAAGTTCTTGCTTAGCTATTAGCTAAAACTAACTGTTTACTGTTTTGAAAAATAAATTTTTTTAAACGTCTGAAAACTTGTAACTTTTTCTTACATGGTTAACAGTTGTTGCAACAGTTATTTTATAATCTTAATTATTCTGTTTTTTTTTTTTGAGTTTTTTAAATTTAATTTATTACTTTGAAACGCAAATAATAGTTATTTTTTTTAAAAGTTTTTGGTTGTTTAAACAGCCTCTTTGAGTTTGGGAGCTATTGTTATCTTTTTCATAGTGGAAGTGCAACACAGAATGGATTAAGCTAGAAAATGTCTCTTACTGTATGTCAAACAATGGGAGGAAATTTATTAAGTGTTACAAGTCAAGCTGAAAATTCATTTGTTATAAACCACCTAAAAAACAACAGCATGAACGAACTGCATTTCTGGATTGGTTTAATAGTTTTTTATTAATATTTTGACTTTATGTTTTGACAAATTTTTCACTCGTATTTTACAATATATTTTAAGGCCTGAATAATCTTCAAAGAACCTTTGCTTGGTCTGATCATACAGCTTTGTTATTCTTTGATTGGAACAAGGATCAACCTAATAATTATTTAGGAGTAGAAAACTGCGTAGCACTAAATTTTAATGGTTGGTACGATACTAGTTGTGATGATCTTTATGGTTTTATATGTAAATTTAATGGAGGTAAGTTTCAGTTTCTTTCATAAACACTATTACTTCTTATATTTTGTTTTTACTCAATGTCTTATGTTCATTCTATCAAAATATTTAATAGCATTCTTTGTTGGTAGATTTGGTAATATTTTGGTTACAATGTATGGCCATTAGACAACTAATTTGTGTGATGGCCATACATTGTAACCAAAATATTACCATGTGTAATTTGTTTTTTCACATGTTGACTTTACTTAAATAAACTTGAAAAATAGTTTTATTAAAATATGACTTGAATTATAATTAAAAAACCGTCATACTATAATCTTAAGAGATTTAAAGTTTGAGCAAAAGGATCTGAAAAATTATTTAAATATATCCACGTTTAGAACGGATCCAAAAAATGCCAATCTTGCTGACCTATGAACGCAAATATTTGGTAGTGTACATAATAAGGTACCCTTTGATGCTAATTTTGAAACCTTTTAGTTTTGTTCACAGAAAATTCATTAATTTGAATGTTTTAATTAAGTGAAATTTGACTTTATAGTGCCACAATAAAATCACCTATTGAATAGGAACTACTTAATATAATTTAGTAAAAATTAGTACAAATGTTAATAAAAAAAAGCACAAAGGCTACACCAAGTTCTAGATAAAAGTTCAGGTGGATTGATTTACTGGTTAGAGATTTATGTCAGTTTATATTTTGTAAGTGTTTTGCTATTAAGACCTCATAATATTACCATTTATTGCGATAATTCGTCACTATTTTTGAAATAATGGAAAAATAAAACCTGAAACAAAAGGCACGATTTGTTATTGCCTAATCGGGCAATTAATTCGTTCAAAGCCTCAATAAAAAAATCCTCTTGCAAAGGAAACCATTATTAACAAAGAACTAAATGTGCGTTGAAGCACATGTCTCTGCCCTCGGGAAAGTTTTGTGTCACAAATGCTCTCAAATAAAGTTCAGAAAAAGCCTTCGATCTTTAGCAGCAGAAGGTGCCAGAGCAGCTAAACAAATTGCATCTCGAGTTTTTTCCAATAAAAACTTATTCCCTGATCAAACTTGACTTTATATTAGACTTGCTAAAGCATCTGGCAGGCCTTCATTTACAATTACCTAAAGTAAATATTAACATTTAACTAGTTATATGTTCTAAGAAAATCTTTATAAAAAGACACAATATAAGTTTTAGGATGTATATTTTTAACAAGCTTCTAATCACTTTAAAAACAAATAATTTAAAAGTTTTAAACAAACTTTCTGAACAAAGTTTAAAATAAAGATAAAATGTATATGTCTTGGTTTCATGCTGTTCATGGTTTCAAATTTGTTCCCAACCACTTTGAAGCGCTCCAAAATTTATTTCTGTAGCTCTTATAAATGTACAATTAAATACGGGACTATCAAACAACGGATTAATTAAACCAAACATCAAGCAGCATAATTGTAGAGCCAAAACTTCACAATAGTTTCTTCAGGCAAGTCAACAATTGAATGATTTCTTCATTTGCAGTGACTTAAAAATTATCGACAGAAAAGGAGATTCTGGCACCCCATCAAGAAAAATAACGTTGGAACATTATTGTTTTAAAGTCGTTCTTATCATTGAAAACACGTTATGATGTTATAAATGAAACAAAGGATAAATTTCATTTTACTAATGTTATTGCAATAATGTAAAAATGATGTTGTAACAATGTTACAATTAAGCTAAATGATGTCGGAAGGCGTTAGAGCAACGTTGAATTGAAGAAAAAAGGCGTTATAAAAACATTTCCGAACGTTATTTTGATTTAAATGACGTTGAGACAATATAGGCTAACGTTATTTTGACAATGTTGGCCAAAGGTTGTTAGAAAAACGTTCTCCAATGTTTTTCTATCATTTTTAAGATGCTATTCATAAATTGCAAAGAACAATATAGCACAATGTGACACAATATAACATCGCACTGTAATTTTCTTTTTTCCTTTTATTTATTAAGTTCATACATGGTAATTAATTCAGTTTAAGCAATTAATAGAGTATGGAAATTAAAATATTAAAAAAATAAATTAACTTTGCAATACTTCTATTTCAAATTTTTAATATCATATACAATAATTTAGAGTAAAACTAGTAAGATTTTTTTTTCTTCCTAAATTTCAACCATATCTCAAACAACTCGCGTTTTCTTTGTTTGACACTAACAGTGGAAAATATATAAAGAAATATAAAGTTACAAACAAATCCAATTATAAGCATTTTCAAGAACATAATAAAAAACATTTGCAATGAACAAATTGAAATATTACACATAACAGCAATTAGACTAACTTTCCATTTGACTCATCTGAGTTTTTCTGCTTTAAAAGGTTATACACTACAAATTGTTTTGCAACATCATCTGAAATAGAAAACATAGTTTCCCAATAAACTGCAAAACTAATGAAAGTGCCCACCCCCCAAGGCAAAATTATATGTAATTGAATAAATAAATAAAATTTATTCAAAACACTCAATCGCGACATAATGAAAAAAAAACATTTCTTGTTTTACCCTTGAAACAAATTACTTTGAGTTTTAGTTCAGATTTCTGTGAAACTTTTTTTTACAGGGTTTATTCTGGCAAAGGCACAATACTTTAATATAACTTTAATTGCATGGAAAAATAAAAAAACCAAAACAAAACATTTTCACAAAGTGAAGAATCAAATAATGTTTTAATAAATAATTCTCCTTAACATCACTTTGTTGGGTGTTTTTTTTCCAATCGGAGCTGATTATATTTCTCTTAAACGCTTAACAATTTGAGCTAGTGATATCTTTTTACCAAAACTCAATAATTTCAGACTCAACTATTTTCAAATAAAAAGGCATACATATCAAGAAATGGTAACTAAAAATATTATAACAAAGGAATCAGGTTGTGTACATTGTGTATTAATAATGTTGGGCCATAATAATACACAGCCTCAATAATACAGCCACCCAAACCAAATCAACAGAATCAATGCATAATCAATGCAATGATGCTGACAACTTGTTTTGTATTTTTAGTAAATAAGAACAATTAAACAAAAGAAATTAACTAAGAAGCCTTTTATCTATCTCTAACTCTACAAGTGATCTAGATTCTCTGAAAAACCAGATGCTTTGTACCAAGTAAATCTCTTAACTTTTCAGAAATATGATTAACTTAAACATGTACCAAAAGACATTTCTTTGGTCCCTCTTTCAAAATACCAATAATTGACGGACAACCCCATAACAAACCAAGTGCATATAGTCCAAAAAGAATCTAGAATGCAAAGTAAGTTAATCAAAAGCCTTTTAAATACTATATAACCATCTTATAACTCTTCTTAGCTAACACACAGTTTACTGAGATGAATTACAAATATTATGAAGTATCTAAAAGTGAAAAAGAAGCTGTCTTTAATAAAAACAACTCTTTTTTTTATACATTTATTTTTTAAAGGAGTTTTTCAAAAAGCAAAAAACTTTTTGAAAACCTCCTTAAAAAATTTAGGTTTTTGTTTGACACAAAAAAAAGTAACAAGATACAGAGGTTTAGAAACAAATTAGCAAAGTAAAGACTAAACCTGTGTATTTCTAGATTTAAAAAAGGCCTGACCATATACATTTACTATTAAATATTTTTCATTTGTTTACACACAGGTTATCATCATGCAACAAATTTTTAATACAATTAGCTAGATGTAGTCACAATATTTTTTCAGCATTCATATGATTAGATGTTTTTAGTAACATTAAGTTCTTATGCCCACGTTGCCGCATTAAGTCAAGCAAATTATTTGATTAAAAATGTTCAACTAAATGATTAACTGGCCACAAACAAGGTCAGGACATTTATCAGAGTAAAAAAGAATAGAAGCACTTTTAAAAAAATTAAAAATATTGTAAATTGGGCTCAAAAAAAAACTCAAAATTTTTCTTTATAAATTTATATACTTATAATAATTTATTCATATATTAATATTATTATATTTAACACTTTTAACATCAAAAGTATACAGGTTATGTACATTTATAATATTATAAAAATTTATAATTTTTATAGTTCAAATGAGATTTTTATAATTTTTTAGAAATTAAATTTTATAATATAATATAAATAAATAAAAATATTTTGAAAATATATATTTTTATTATATATGTTTAAAATATTCCTAAGTAAGAAATAACTTTGTTGTAGTATTTATATGTTAATATCAATTGTATAGACATTTGTATTATACTTTTGTGTTATATAAATATTCACATGTAATAATAAAATAATAATTAATAAAATCTTTGCAGTTGTTGAAAATACCTTAAATGTTTTAAATATAAATGTAACAAATGAAAGTATAAATAAAGAAATACAAATAATGTCTCTCAAGTAAGTCATTTACATATGCTTCGGTGACTTTCCACCAACATATGAGAGTAGGCTTAAAAAGGAAAAAACTATATGGGTTATTTTATATTAAATCACTTAATGATCCCCAGGGTATCACCTCAAATTTGCTTCAAATTTCGACCACATACAGTATTTATAAAAAAAATGCAAACCTCAAACTTTCAGCTAGATTGACCAAACCGTTTAAAAGTTATGATTGATTTAACATTGATCAAAATTAGAAAAATTTAAGAACTTGGAGCATACAGTAGATTATTTATGATTTTTGATAGAGCATTACTTGATAAATAAAAAAAGTGATCACTTGAAATTTTGTATGTTAATGGTTGGTAACTAAAATAATGCAATTTTGTTGGTGTTTTTGATTAGCTTTGAAGAAATGATGAGTTATTGTACTATAAAGTTGCTATAAAACACAATAATAGGAAGTTTTTGAAAAATTTTTATGTTCTATAGTTCAATATCTATAGACAAGAAAGCAGTACCAATTTTTTTATACTTTTGTGTAATTAAAGCACCCACTTGTGAAAAAAATTTTAAATTATGTGTTAAAAGTTAGTTTAACACTTTCAGCAGCCTAATAAAATATCACATTTTTGAAAAATATAATAAAAAACATACACTTTGCAGGCATAAAAAATATCATCAACACTTGAAGTATGTTGTGAAACTTTTTTCTACTGAGGTTCTATAAATATTCTTTAAATATCATCAAAAAAATTTTATAAACCTATACTTTTTCTTATGACATAGTTTTAGGATTTTGAGTGCAACGCTTTTTTAGTTTAAAAGGATACCTAGTAATGCAAGTTTTATTATATTAAAAAAAAAATGCTGAAAGAAGAAGTGTAAATACAAGTACACTAATTTCTTTATCTATTTATATAACTCATAATACTGTCATAATCATTGTTGGCATATTGGCAATGGCAATAACTGTCATATGGCATATGACAATAACTGACAATGGCATATTGGCAATGGCAATAACTGTCATATTCATTGTTGGCATATTTGCAGTTACAAGCACTTTTGCCCTTAATGGATGGAGCACTTATTTGCCATATTATTTTGTCAAATGGAACCTAACATATATTTGATAGTGCATCTTTAGTCCATTTTAAATTTAATTTGTTTCTATGCAAAAAATTAACATTAACATCTTGGTTTTCATTACAAATCTCAAGCACAAGGCCTATGTACCATTCATCATTGTAAAAGCATACAATGTATTAGCCAGGTTGAAAGTTTGAAGGATATTTTTTTGCCAGGTTAATACTATTTAGCAAATAAGACATAATAGACAGTATCGCAAAAGTTTTTTTGTGAAAATAATTCTCTCCACCTGGTACAAAATCGTGATAGCTTTTTGTTCCTGGGACTGTGCTTATCTCTTTATATTGTTTCTTTAGGTTAAAATAAGTTTTATGGTTATTGATATCATTTCTTGAAATTTAAAATTTTTTAAAACATTTAATGTTTTTTTCAGCCCATGTAAACAGTTCATTTGGTGTAAGGTTCTTGTTTGCATTTGCTGCTTGTAGGATCTTTTGCTGCTTCTCTTTTTATGGTTCCTCCTGTTCCATCGAGTGGACTTTTGCCATGGGGTGTAAAAAAGAAGTAATGTTCAGCATTTATACTGTGATCTTCATGATGGTACATTAAGTTTAACATACATTTGTAATTTTTGTACTGTGACTTTGCACCATCACTGTATTTTACTTTATTGATTATGGGTAGTTTGCTTTTGATAACAGGGAGTAACTTTGTGAGAAAACAATGAGCTGTTGTTTGATTATAACGAAGATGGTCAGAAACTGGATAATAGTATTTGGATTTGAATTGATTTTTTCATATTTATAATAAACAGCATCTTGCATAAGAAAACTATGATCCTCTTCAAAATCCATAAGAGAAAAAGAAGTGCATTGATCTTAGGTTCTTTTTGCCTCTGATAACTAGGAAGATTGTGTTTCTTTGATAAAGTGGTGACAAAGGTTAAATAAAGTTTCACTTAGAGTTTCAATAACGTCTACGATGCTTGTTTAAACTGTGAAAAGTGCAGTTTGGTCTGTCGACACCCATTGTTTGTATCTGATCTGATCGTCAGAATCAAAACTATTATTTTCAAACACATTTTCCAAACAAGTCTTTATATTTGAATCCAACTTTGTGTTTAGGGTATAAATTCTTAAACTCAAGACAAAGTTTCTTTTTTGTTTATAAACTTTTAAATTATTTAAACGCACAGAAAGTTTTTTTTATTCTTGTACATTGTTTTGTGAAATCTTCGGATTCATAAATTTCAATAACTTTTTGTTTAACAATATCTTCCGAACGCTTTCCTTTTATTGGATCTAACAGTTTGTCTAAATCATTACAGTTTAATACATTTTTGCTCTTTTTCCGATACTATACCTTTTGGGTCAATATCTAATGATGACGCAATTAGGTTTGTCATACTTGCTGCAATTATTTTAGCTTTTTTTTTTCCATATTCTAATTTGTTGCGCCTACTTACATTTTCGAGTGGAGATATTTCCAATAAAGACACACTCTTTTTAAGAATTGTCTTATCAAGGTTTGAACAACTAAAATTTTTTTCAGCAGCTTTATCTAGACTAACTTCTGTAATTTTTTCCAAGTTTGAATTTATTCATACAGTTAATACAAAATTTTTGACCCTTGATAATTTTTTCTTGTGGATTTTAAATGGATTGCAATAGTAATTTTGAAGTGCTTTATATCTAGAAATATAGGGTTTTTCATTGTGAAAACATATTTGCTTATTTGGTTCGAAAGTGTGGTCTATCCTTTTTTATTAATTAAAACTTAAATATCAGTATCTTTATTTTTTAGTGTATTCGTTCTAATCTTTAGAGTCTTCAAAAACGATGCCCGAAATTCAGAATTCTTGTGATACTAGTTGGAAAGACCGCATATCTTTTAATGACTATTATATAACAAGCTTACCAAATTCTCTTGCAAAGACTTGATTAGACTTATTTATTATTGCCGAACCAAAGGCTTTATTTAACTGTGGCAACTTGGTTGAATTTTATTTATTCGGCTGATATTCTTAAATGATCTATAATTTAACAATACTGTTTTAATAACATACTTTTAATAAGTTTGTTATAAATATTTGTGAATAGTGTTTTATTGTAATTCTAATATAAAAAAAGTATAATTTGGAAAAATGTCTAATCTACCTTTTGTTAAACGACTATTTTCATAGCCAGACATCTTTGCAAAAACATTATTTGGCATAGTACAGTTATTATAATAAGTTATTTGACTTTAAAAGTTTTATGCAAAATTATGTTGAAAAACTTACACAATAAAGTTTTCAAAACATTTTTTTTTGTAAGGTTGTGTTATGATGAAAAGGCCTTTTTCAGTCATTACGAATATATAAACAGGTTTTATCCCAGGTAGTTAATAATAAAATTCTTTTGTACTTAATAAGTTTGATGTTTATTATAAATACAATTTATAAAATCTTGCACCTAATATGGATTTTATATCGTTTTCTTGCGCCATCTTGCAAATTTTTTCGACAGAAATCTTGTATATAAGAAGTTATAACCTATATGTATTGCGTCAGCTGTATATATTTTGTTAGCTGACTATTTTCAAAATACATTTTATTTCCATTTGCAAAAATCGTTTTTTCATAGTTAGTGAACATAATAGCGATGTTATATGTCATTTAAAGAATTATTTAAACATTTTCATAAAATCTGCTCAATCCAGTTAAAATCTAAAAAAAAGAGGACGGGGAGGAAATACTTTTTCTTTTTTGGATTACTCTAAAAAGTTCCTGTACACGCTCCTGTATCTACCTATAGTGAAGGTGTAAAATATTCCGTTTTTAAAAAAAACAACTGTTAGCTACTCTATCGTATCTAAATTAAAAAAAACAAGGTTAGATTATAACGCAACGCAGTAATTTAATTTAGGAAACTAAACAAATTTAATCTTTTTGGAAAAAAAACCACAAAAACGCAAATTAAAAAATTAGAATGTTTTTATTATTTTTTTTTTTAAATAAAAACATTCTTAATTTTTTTTTACTGCATAACATGCGTGGAGTGTTGCTACATTAACTAATTATAATAAAATTATATTGAAATACTAATTATATTGAAATAAGTAATGAATAAAATAGTTATGAGTATCTCTTGAAATTATTTAAAAAAATAAAAAAGGGTTCTCGATGACAAGACTTTACATAGTTTTCTGCGAGTTTCCCTTGACTACATAATTAAAGAATTATTTTTTCCTTATTTTATTTATTAGACTTAATTTGTCTTTTCAAAATATTAACTGTAAACTCATTTACTATATTTTATTACTTTGTATATCAATTTAATCTTAGTATTATTTCTGTTCTTTTTGAAGCATTTTGACTGTATTTGCAATAAAAGTATAAATTGTTAAAACTATTCTGTTGTAAAAAATTTATAAAAAAAAAAAAAAAAATAATAATATACCCTGCGGCTACAGGTTCTAGGAAAAAATACACCGGGAAAAAATCACCTTGCAAAAATTCCCCCAAAATAATCCACCGAAAAAAAATCCCCCGAGAACATAAACCCCCGGAAAAAATCCCCCTGAGAAAAAATCCCCTCGGAAAAACTCCCACCGAGAAAAAATCCCCCTGGAAAATATCGTCTTCAAAAAATTTTTTTTTCTTTTACATAAAAATTATCAACATGCAGCTATGTTTATTTATTTATTTATTTTAAATATTTATATAAAATACTTCATTTTTCATTAAAATGTGAAGTTATGTGCTATTCCTCGAAGATAGCGAATGTGACACCCTAACCCTAACCCTAACCCTGACGTACTGCGAACTGGTAAAATGTGAACTTTTTTGCGAACCATTGTAGTTAATTTAGCGGTTTATTTTAAGGACTTTTAAGCAAAAAAATTATTTAAAAAAAATAAATAAAAGGAAATTAAGTAAAACTAGACGAAAACAATATGAAAAAACAAATATATTTTTTATTTATTTGATAGACTGCCTGCCCAACCCAAACCCTCAATTGATGTAGCAGCACTCCGTTACGACTCAGGCTATTTGTCAGTCACTTCGTTGCGAGTCAGGCTATTTGTCATTCAATGTAGCAGCATTCCGTTGCAAATCAGGCTATAAGATAGTCGATGTAGCAACACTCCGCGCATGTTTTACAGTTAAAAAATAATTTTTTTATTTAAATAAAGCTTTAAAATAGAATATTAGAAATTGGAGAGATTTTTTTATTATTATTTTTACCGACAACCAAGAAATACTGCATAACTTTAAACTTTAATGAAAAATGAAATAGAAAAATGAAGCTATTTAAAATAAATAAATATATATAATTTATTGAATACTTTTATGTATATAAAAATTTTTTTTTGGGGTGGATATTCTCCGTAGGGATTTTTTCTCGGGGAGGGGGGGTTTACTGCTATTGCGGCTAAAAAAGTGTGTTGCTTCATAGCTATCTGAGGGTTTAGTTTGAGCAGGCAGACTAACAAATAATAAAAAAGTAAATATTAAAGTTTTTCTTTTAAAAAAAAACAAACAAATTCTTGACGTTTTATGGAAAAAACTTAAAAATGACTAAGGAAGAGTATATATATATATATATATATATATATATATATATATATATATATATATATATATATATATATATATATATATATATATATATATATATATATATATATATATATATATATATATATATAAATATATATATATATATATATATATATATATATATATATATATATATATATATATATATATATATATATATATATATATATATATATATATATATATATATATATATATATATATATATATATAGTTAGTTAGTTAGTTAGTTAGTTAGTTTGTTAGTTAGTGATAAACTGCGTGGATCTTATCCACAAGCTGAGACGTTGTAACGTTCAGCTATAGCAGCCTAGTAATTTTTTTTTTTTTTTTCTTTTTCTTTTAAATTAATATTTTCTTATTTTTAGTTTTAAAGCAAGTTTAGACGAATGGCTTAAACCATTCGTCTAAACTTGCTTTAATTATATTCAAATTCTCGGAATCTACAACTTTTTCCGGAAGTTTGTTCCAAATTTGGCAAACTCTGTTTGTGAAGAAATGGATTCTGGAGCTAACCGATGCATGAAAATCATTTATTTTGCGAGGAGTAAAACACTTCATTCTAATTTTATGTTTGAGACCTCTAATGGAAGAACATGGGCCATCTAATTTAATGCTTGACTTATAGACTGAATTGACATTAAGATTGACAAATTCTAGATTGTTTAATATCTTATATAAATGAATAAGGTCTCCTCGTTTAAATTAATTAAATCCATTTAAATAGCCGTTTTTCATAACTTAGCATTCGGCTTGAGTATGGTATTTTTGTGGCCCTACGTTGAACTCTTTCAAGCATTGAGATTTCGGCCACATTCGGATGACTCCACGCTGGAGCCGCAAATTCAAGATGAGGTCGCACATAAGTAGTATACAAAATTTTCCACATATAACAATCTCTACTTTCAAAGACATTTTTCAATAACCCCAGTATTTTTTAAGCTTTGTTAACACATACTTGCGTTTGATGCTTCCACCTCATATCCGGTTGTACAAAAACACCTAGATCTCTTTCTAATACACTGTTTGAGAGGTCATAAATCATTCCATTTATATTCATTGCGTATGTTTTATTAATACCTCGAAAAACTTTCTGATTGCCGAATCTCATCACCTTACATTTTTTGCAGTTTAGTTCCATACCCCAATTGTTGCACCATTTCACAATGTTGTCAAGGTCATTTTGTATTTCCGCTTGTTTATCAATGGAATCTTCTATGGCTATTATTTTGCTATCATCAGCATACTATTTAAATGCGTTTAGCACAACTTCTGGTAGGTCATTTATGAATAGTAGAAATAACAATGGACCCAAAACGGAACCCTAAGGCACGCCACTGGTAACTGATACCCATTCTGAAACTGTATTACTAATAGCAACTTTTTGTTTCCTATTTGCAAAAAAACTTTCAATCCAGTTATATATTTTACCAGTTATACCATACGCTTTAATCTTTGTCAATAATCTTTTGTGTTCTACTTTATCAAAAGCCTTTGCGAAGTCAAGATATATGACGCTTAACGGTTTACCTTTTGCAGTTTCAAATGTAATTGTGTCAATTGTCTCAATAAGATTTGTTGTGCATGATTTGTTTGGAACAAAACCAGTTTGCTCCTCACATATAAATCTATTTGAAACTAAATGTTGTAGAATTGTGTCCCAAATGAGCTTTTCGAACATTTTACAAAGTTACAAAAAAAAAAAAAAAATAACAGATGTTAGGGATACTGGTCTGTAGTTTTCTGGTTCAAGTTTTGATCCCCCTTTGTAAATTGGTGATATATTTGCAACAGACCAGTGGTAAGGGACACATCCAGTGTCAAAGCTTAATTTGAAAACATGAACAATTGGGTCCACAAAACCTTCTTCAGCATGTTTTAAAACAAACGGACTAACTCCATCAAAACCCATCGCTTTTGCCTCATCCATACCTTCTAACATTCTGAGAATTTTTTCAAAGGTAATCATATTAGATAACTTACTGAAATCGCACTTGTTTTCGCATCTTTGCAAGAATTCGGGTATTGGTTGGTCATTATCATTAACAAAGACTGACTGAAATTGCTTATTGAATATATCTGAAATGTCTGATATCTCAGTTGTAACTTGATCTTTTTTGTTCTTGATTGCTCTAATTTGCGTTTTAATGTTTTGTTTTCTATTTACGTATGAGAATAAAAGTTTTGGTGCAAGCTTTGCTCTCTTTACTAAATCCGTTTCGTATTCTCGAGTTGATCTTTTGATTTGCTTTTTAACATTAGCACACATTTTGTTAAAAGCCTTTCAAGATTCTTGACTTTGTCGATGGAAATTTGAATAAAACATAGAATGTTTAATCTTTTTTTCTTTTTTAACTTTTGCATCCAGCCAAGGTTGACTTTTCTTTTTTTTATTACTTAAAATAGGAATAAACAATCGACAAGATTAGATATTTTTGCATACATATAATCGACAAGATTATACTTATGCAAAAATAACTAATAACACTCACAGGCTGATTTGTTATAAAAATGCTCAACCCAGTTGACTTGTTTCAAGTATTTATTCAAATAAAAAAAATTACCTTTTTTAAAGCAAAACTTATCTTTTGTGAGTACTGTATTGTTACTAAGACTATAAAATATTGCCAAGTGATAGAGTAATGGTATCTTCTCTTTTCATAGTGGCCTAACTGTGGACCAAATTGAAGAAAATCAATGCAATTTGGATTGCAAACTAAAACAAGATCAAGGGTGTTAACTGCTGAAACAGAGTCATTTTGTTTGAATGTCGGAAACTTTACTGTTTGGTATAGAGAAAAATCATTTAAAACTTTAATAAATTCATGTTCAATTAAGTTTACATTTGAATGAATTAATGGACCATCATCTGTCCATTCTATATTAGGAAAATTTAAATCTACGACCACTATGAGATCAGTGTATTTTTTTCCACTTTTGAGTTTTGAAGCGGTTCTGATTGAGTCTAGAATCAACTTTGAGTAATTAACTGTAGAGATTGGTGGTCTATATATACAACCAACAATTAAATGAAAATTATTACAATTTATTGAGTAGCAGACTTGTTCGATCTTTTTGTTGTTAAGATGCAGATTTACAATTTCTATATTTATAAGTCTT